CACTGTTCAGAAGTGACTTCTGTTAAAATTTTAATGTGCATCTTGCCCAGGTGTTAATTTTTGCTCAATGTATATTATTTTTTAAAAAGTAATTATATTGGGCATTCTGTTTTATGAATTTTCTAAATAACATTTTGTTGAGAATTATTTCCAAATCAGATTTTGTTTCCAAATGGTTTTGTTTTACTCCTTAATATGAAATATTCCCTATTTTTGGACGACCTTTGGAACTTTAATATAGATAATACTGTGATAAATGTCCATGATGCTTAATATTTGTGAACTTTTACAAATATTTCCTAGTATATATCCCTTAAACTGGAACAACTGGATTAAAGGGTATGTGCATCTTTAATGATATTTATAATTGCCAAGTTGTCATTCAGAAATGTTGTATTGCTCTACATATACATTAACACTTGTATATCAAAAGTGATCACTTTTGGTTTGTGTGGGCTGTCTTCCATGTGCCGTCTAACTGGGCTTTAGTGAATTCTCACGTGAATTGGTTCCTGATGCTGAGGAAGCCACAGGGATCTCTACCATAACCAACTCTTCAAATATAGCTTCTTTCGACGCATTTCTTCCCGTACATCTCTCTCAAAACCCCAAATAAAATAAACCTGGTCATAGAACCTAAATGATGTGCAAATGTGTAAGTAAATCTTATTTGCATTGTTGTGATTCATTAGCTTCTTGGTTTAAAAGCTCTAATTAACTTGCAACATCACTCAGACTAAAAGCTTAAAGTCTTACAGGGACTTTGAATGAGTTTTTCATGATCTATCTCCTTATTACCTCTCTGTGTTAATTTCCTGTTAATACTTCCCCCATTTATTCTGCCTCAATCACACCGGCTGCTTTACTGTTCCTCAGACCCCCTAGGAATAAACCTATCTCAGGAACTTTGCACTTGTGGTTCCTTCCTCTTGGATTCTTTGACTCTAGATATGTAAATGGCACATCTTCATTGTTCTTCAGGTCTTTGCTCAAATGCACCTTCTCAAGGAAGCCTTCCCTGATCTTCCCATCTAAAATTGCAGTTCCTCTCATTACATCTTATACCCTGTTTATGCTTACTTTATTTTCTTAATGCTTGCCACTCTTTAACATGCCATATGTTTTACTTCTGTTTAGTTTTTATTGTTTTTCTGTCCAAATGGAATGTGAACTCCCTGAGACAGTAGTTTTGGTCATTTTTGTTTATTGCTGTATCCACAGTGCAAATGACAGCACCTAATCTATTGTAGTTGCTCAATAGGTATTTGTTAACAAGTGATATGTACCACCATTACTTCTATTTGCAAACATGAGAGAGTAGGCTCACTTTCTGTTACAACTGTTTTCCTCCTCTGAGACATAGTCTGAGTGATATTTGTTCCCTTCTAATTCTCTTTATTCTACATGGGAACCTCATGAGATATGCTTATCTGTTTCATGCTTTGCAGGGCAAAAGGTTTAAACTTTCTAGGTTACATTTCTCTCTCTCTCTCTTTCCCCCCCCATATATATATGCTTATAATATATTTAAGCATTTATCATATGTATAATGCTTATATATATTTAAGCATTTTACACTGCATAATTCATATTTGGAAAAATAACATCTATTAGTTCTCTTTCCTTTGTTAAGGAAAATTCATTTTGGTAACAACTCACTAATATGCAAGAAGATAGAGTGAGATAGCAAAGACACATGCAAAAGAGTGAAGTGCCTGCATTAGCTTCTCTTACAGTTTGAATGTAAAGGTACCAAAGTAACTTATCCTTCACATTCTTCAATCCCCTGCCATCTTCTTCCTGGTTGTCTCTTATCTAAAGAAATTGTGCTGGTTCATTGCGAAGCATTGTGTGTTAGGTATCTTTGGGAAGATTTCTCCAAATGTAGTACCCTATTCTCTTCTTCAGTGAGAACGTTCTGGTTTGTTCAATGTAGCTATTTCCCAGTCACAATGTCACATCTGGATTCCCTATCTCCCTGGATAACTGTTAAGCTGTTAATTGTAGTGGACAGTGTGAAACAGAGGTTTTTAGAACATCTTCAAAATAGGGCGCTGGGAGGCCTTTGGAGTTTGATGAAGGGCTGCAGCGCACCCGGGGGCTTTTTCCAACCAGACGCCTCTCCTGCACACGGACCAGCCTCAGAGCCAGGGCGGCTGCGAAGTCTGTGTGTGTGAAAATGTGTGAGCGCACGTGTCCGTGCCTGTGTTAGGGGTCCTTCAGTTTTGGGGCCTTGGGACATTCCCAGGTTTAAAGACAGAAAACTAAAGTTTCTACAACCATTATGGTCTTTCTCATCCAACCTTCATCCTAAATATGGCTCTTTATTACATTTAGAGTCCTAGGAATGTCATTTTTTCTTATAGTATCCTTTGCATGTGATTAGGGTTTTTTTCCTAATCACCTAAATGAATATCAAAATAAGGTAAGTGAGATTCTCAAATTATTAATGTTCAGAGTATAGACTAATATTATATACTTTAACTGACTGGATAATCCTTTTCTCTGCCCTTAAAATTCGGTCAAAATAATCACATAAAAATATGCTTTTCATAGTTCTCTTACAATCATAAACTATGACAAAACAGCTGAAGGCTAAAAGATTATAAATATATAATCACTATACAAATATGCTTAAGAATTCAGGAAGTATGTATAATGTCAGCTGGCTTAGGCAGTCAATAATACTGATAGTGCTTCACTAATCCTTTTTTATGTCTTTATCTAAGACTAGGTTTTGTTCTCACTTCCTCATCCCATACTTCCTTTCTCCCAATCTTATAAGAAGAGCAAAGTGCCGACATCTTTCATAAGAATTCAAAATAAGATGGGTTGAAGCAGGGTGCAGTTAGAGTTTTGCTGTTGTGGCTCTTTGTTTTTCATTTAAGCAGCAGGTACTAGAGCCATTGGAAGTTATATTTGTAGGGTCTAGAGTCTAAGTTGACAACTTGCCGAGAAGTCTTAGGTTTTAACAAATGCAGTGAGTTTGAACCCTGGTCAGTGTGGCTCAGTTGGTTGGAGTGTCATCCCATGACTAAAGGGTTGGGGTTTTGGCTCCTGGTCGGGGCACATACCTGGGTTGTGAGTTTGCTCCCCAGTTTGGGCGCCTATGGGGGATGGCCAGTTGATGTTTATCTCTCACATTGATGTCTCTCTTTCTCTCTCTTCCTTCCCTTCTCTCTAAAATCAATAAACATTTTTTTTTTTTAAGAAATGCAGTGAATTTGAACTTCAGATGATTGGAGCACCCCTACTAATAAACTAAACTTAATAAGATTTACTTTTAAAACAGCAGATTTACTTTAACAGCTGCTTCCCACCCAGGTGGGAGGGGGAATAGAAGTATCTTGAGCGGGATAGCTCCCTCCTAAGGTGACCTAGTGGCTTCTGTTCCTGTTGTCACCGTGCTCTTTTGTGTACCTTCTCTTAAGAACCTCCCCCCACAGGGTCGCACCCTGTCCCACCCTGCGCCTGTCTCCCATCAGCTTTGAAGGGTGACTAACATGAGCATGTATGCAGTTTTTAAAAAGCAAAGGGAAAAATGCTGTTAACCCTTCTGAACCTGCGGATCTTTTCCCAGGCTTTGATTGTGCTGGCGGGAGAACGGCCAGGGTATGGCCTGGCCGTTGAAATGCCATTTCATAAAGTACATGCCTGTTTTTTGTCTTGCTATGAAAATATTTGAAAATCTGTTGTTAAACATCAAAAATGTCTGCTTTGGGTACTTGCTGCTTCTCCTCAGCGGTGACCATATGGCTTAGCACCTTAAGCACTGGGCTGTGACTTAGGGACTATGTTTTAATGTTCAGGAGTCCATCTTCTGTTATTGATGCCAGCTGAGCCACCATCCAGAAAATGTGAATAATAAATTGAATGATGCTGGAAAATAAAGAAGGGTAATAAATTCTTTCCATCACTCTAAAGTGATATAACTGTGTGATAAATTATGGTAGAGACCATGGTGGAAGGAGTACATTCTGAGTCCTTCGGAAGATAGATGTTTTTATACTTTTGAATTACTTTGGATCTGATTTTTTGGCAATGAATCTCTTGGGTGTGCATATTTGTACAATACGAAGCCAGTAGTTCTGAAAGTTTTCACCATCAATACCCTTTAATCCTGCCTTCCACAGTTATGAATCTCATACTTAAAAGATTCTGTTAAGTTTACACTTGTACTTACTATAATAACAAATGTATTCTTCCATAAAAATAATCATTTATAGAACTGTGGTTATTATGCAACAACTGCTATTTTTTCTGACTGTTAAAACTGGAGATAGAGAAAAAAATTAACATTTTTATTAATCAATGCAGGCTAATTGTGGGCAAGTCTCTGGCCTAGCTGAAATAATCAGCATAGTATAAATATATTTTTCCTATATTTTGGGCCTTCTGGAAGTCCAGGAGATACAGGCTGAGAGCAACTTGATACAGGCTAAAGTGTTGGTAAATTCAGCTTCAGATGCCAGTGTCTCTAGGCAAGTGTAGTTCTTAAATATTACAACATTACAATATTAAAATATGATATTGTTCATATATTTTTTATAATTGTGGGTTACTTATTCTAGAGGCTAAGCTATAAATATTTTGCACATAGCTGTTATTTACCTTGATAAAATACCTTTAGGTGAGTTACGAGAAACTTTTCTAGAGATTTTTTGTTTTTAACATGTGTTTGTAAACCTCTTCCAGTCACACAATGTCCATTCTTTACACCGGTGACCCACAACTGAGAACACTAGAGAAGACTTTCTTTTCTTTAAAAGAAATAATAATGTATATAGTATTCTAAGTGTGTGTACTTAAGTTTAAAAAAGGTTGATATGGCATAAATTATTGGATTTTTAAATTTTTTAAATAATGCATTTGCGCTATTGCTCTGTTCCTCATGCATTTAAATTCTATGATAAACTTGGTGGAGAGGGGCAGTGTACTCACTGAAGAAATCATGATCTCAGGATGAAACATTAAATGATAAATAACATTTCTTTTTCCAGAGACTGGATCCCCAATTACAGCATCATGTATTGGATTAGGTAATTCTAAAACACCTCCTCCAGGACAAGCAGGAAAATGTGTTCCAGGATACAATGGTGAGAAATGACCGTGAATTTTTAAAATATGTGAAGCGGAAAATTTGGTATTTTGTGTGTGTGTGTGTGCTGCAAATCATATCACATGAAACATGCTGGGTGTTTAGTAAGTATTTGATTAAATGAACACCTGTACTAATAAGAAATGCCTTAATTATTGTTAGCCAATTTAATCAAAAGTAATGTTGTAGACTTCCAAGGACGTGTTCTCGGTTATGATATCATAACCAAGGAAATATTATCATTTACAAGGCATGTTAAGAATATGGATGTGAAGGATGCAGAGGACAAACTGATGGCTGCCAGAGAAGGGGAGTGTTGGAGAATGGGTGGAAAAGGTGAAGGGATTGAGAAGTACAAATTGGTAGTTACAAAATAGTCATGAGATGTAAAATACAGTTTAGGAAATAAAGTCAATAATGTAACAACTATGTATCTTGCCAGGTGGGTACTAGAAATATTAGGGGAACAATTTGTAAAGTATAGGATTGTCTAATCACCCTGCTGTACATCTGAAACTAATAAAAATAACATTGCATGTAAACAGTAATTGAAAAAATACAATTTAAATAAAAAATATGGATGTGAAATTAATATGTAAGAAGCCTGCTAGGTACCAAGTTATTTGCGTATATTATTTTATTTCATGCTGAAGTATTTTTAATTCAGAGATATTATTATCATTTTAGAGATAAACTAACTGGTGCTCAGACAGACTAAATAACTTTCCTATGGTAACTTAGCTGGCTAAGTCCTGAAGACAATACAAATCATTGTGTTTTACTAATTTTGTTCGTTTGCTTGTTTTTTTTGTTACAAAAGCTGCAGGTTGTTTTTTTTTTTCCATATGCTGCTCTTTAAGAGTGATGATAAGGATTTTGAAGCTTTTGGGTAAAAATGAACATGAAGAGTAAGGATTCTAAAAACAAAAATCATTTCATCCGTACTGGCAATGTATGATAGTGAGATAAAATATCCTTCAGTATTTGTTGTTAAATTGTTAGTAGTGATTATAATAGTTCAATAATTACCCTTGGACTCCATTTCCAAGTTGCATTTAATTGTGGAAATCATCTCACTTTTCATGCCTTCGATTTCTTTATTCAACATGCTTCATAGAGTTGCCGTATTGTGATGTAACACAACGAAGCATTAACACAAGTGATGATCAGTAAGACAGCTGAAATAAGTCTGAGCTAGTAATGTTACTGATATTCCAGAGAAGCCAGATGGGCTGACTTGATTTAGACTCCCGCATTAATTTTATAGACATGGAAAATGAGGCACAGAAGTTAGACTGTTCGTATAAGGTCACACAATTTAACAATAGATTTATGAGGAAAACCCAGCTTTGTGGGACAGAAAACTATTTCTACACATAGTTCCTATTTGCATGTAAATTATAAATTTTAGAGCTTTGTCTTTTGCTTCTCTAACATAAACACATTGTATTTACCTCCTAGGACAATGATTAGTTAAGAAAACATGGATCATTTGGTTTAACCTAGCAGCTATATTTATAAAAAAGACACTTAAGGTATTTTTTTTAAAGGGCCGAAATAGATATTCTATGAAGCCAGTGATATCTCTGGGCTTGGAAAGGTGAATCCAGTTTTAGTGAATTCCTCCCTTTGAACAGTACTGTCATCCCCACTCCTTTTATCAGAAAAACTGCTTTTGTGTTGAGCCATTTTTAGGGGCTGACGATTGTGGGAGATGTTGAGCACATTTTCCTTTCAGTAGTTCATCAGTGCCATTTTTATATCCAGTGGTAAGAAAGCGTTAAGCTTTGATGTCTCACAGAATTTCAGTACAGAAGTTTCTCATTGTCTGAAAGCCATCGGCTTACAGACAGCGCAGGTTAAACATTAGAACTGAAGTATTTATAACCAAGGAAACAGTGACTTTAAGATTCATGATCTTTGTGTTTCATGGCTTTTCAGAGATTCAAAGGCATAATGTAACATTCAATATTAGAATAAAGGGCAGTAGTATTCTTTTTAGAAAGGAAAGAAAACCATTTTTTTGTGTGTGTGGAAAACATTCAATATGGTGTAACACAACTTCACATTTATTGAATACCTTATACAAGTGTGTCACTTTTTTTTCCCAAGTAATTCTTATACCAACACTATGAGAAAGGAATTACCCTCACTTTTTAGATAGGGAAATTGAAGGGGTAATAAAATGTGCTCAGAGGCACATAATAAATTGGCCACCATACTGGGATTTAGGGAAACAAAGATGAATTAGGTATGGCCACCACCCTTAATGAACTCACAATCTAGTGAGAGACAGATAGTTACCCTGCTAATAACTGTCAGAATAGAATTTTAAAACAAAATGGCCTGGGCACACAAGACGGGGAGGTGGTGATTAATTTTTTCCTGGGGATAATGTCCTTCTTTTCTCATAGCTTCTTTCACCAGAATAAACTGGATGGATGAGCTACATAAAGAATCTATTAAAGCTTAAAACATGATGATATATCCTCATTTCTAGTTTCCACTAAGGGTTACTGAATAGGGATGTGAGCTTTGATCTCATGATATCTTTCAGGATTTTAACATTATAACACAGAAAGCATTGAAATAATATTTGGGAAGTTTAAATTGACCTCTGAAGCTTGGAAGTGGAAATGAAGCCTTAAATCAGAAAAAATGGTGTTTCCAGACTTTTAAATACTTTATTTTTATTGCTTAAATATTTTTAATGTATTTTAAAACCTTACATGTTTCCTTCAATTTTTGAAAAGCAACATATTTTTAATGTTTTGATGGCATGGAAGGATATGTTTAAATGGATAGGAATATAGATTATGAAATTACCAGCATGTTAAAAATATGATATCTTTCTTTATTTAGGGAGATTCTAAGGAAAATTTGTGTTCTTGTTAGAAATTGAAACCATGCACTCTAAATTTTTTGTGAGACATTTTAGCTTACTTATATATGTTTAAGTCTTACAAGACTTGAAAGATGCCTTTTTTAAGCTACAGTTTTGACTGTTGAATATGGAAAATATGGAAACATTTACACTATAAGGTCATGTAGTTGTATTCAAAGTACTTATTTATTTCTATTTTATTTTGAAGTTATGATTTTGGATGACAACATGCAAAAACTGAAGGCTCGGTGTTTAGGAAATATTGTGGTAAAGTAAGTAAAATTTGCAGTACTACTATTTAAAAGAGCAAGAATTAATATATAATTTTAAGAAAATGAAATGTTTTCAATGAATGATATTACTAGTAAGGAGGTTGCAGAATGAGCTTGTATATTGTTTCAGAATACACAGTGCCAACTCTTGTAATTCATACATGTAAGTCCCATACAGTAGAACAAATTTAGATACAATTTAAAAAGATAAATATTGCATCTCTTTAATAATATTTTTCTGATTATACAAGTAATGCATAGATGATAAGAGTAACTTAAATACCAAAATCCAAGTAGTAAATAAAGTTGTGTCCTATCCTTCAACAATACACTGTTAATTTTGTAATAGATATGACTTTCTCTTTTTCACAGGCACTTTAGGTTGTTGAAACAATTTGGCTTATTCTTATGCATCGCTCTTTTCCCTAACCCTGTTTCATGAGCATTTTTAACTTTTAGTCTGCTTCTTAAAAATGCTTATCCCCATTATAGGCCTCGTAGACTTTTTTTGAACATTTATGATTATAAGTAATTCTTTGCTTGTGTTGTATTCTCTCCCTTTCTGATAATTACTACAGTATTGAATAAATTTCTAAAAGTGTAATTACTGAGTCAAAGAGTAGGATAATATAAAATCCCTAACTCATCAAATATAATTTATTGCTGACATTTTTGTCATTGTTCATTTGATAGGCAAAGTGCTAAAATCTGAAAATATTTAAATATACTTTGATTAAACTAATATTTTAAAATTGTTATGCTGATGAAAGCTGTTATGGAAGTTGACTAAGTTGGGAGACACACAGAATTGACATAGGTTGTTTTAGTGCCCCTGGTTTTGGAATTTTCACTGAATGGCTGGGTTTAAGTAGTAGAATTTATCGATATGATTTAAGTCGAATGAGCTGCTATAAATACAGGACATTGCATGTTGAGTCATATAATAAGTTGGTTTCGCCATTTATTTTAAATAGTTTTTATTCCTTGGCATTCTCACATTGGTAGAAGGTTGTCTTAGATTAATAAAACATTTTAAATTCTGTGAAAATTAAATGGAAAATAGTAATTTAAAAAAATGTATTTCATCAGGTAGAGACCCTTAAACTTTACAAAAAGCTAATAGAGGAGATATACTTTCTGATGCAATTCTTTTCAGATTCTTATGTTTTCAGTAAACATGTAACCACTATAGCACTTTTTTAAAAGTTTAAATTTTAAGACATCTTTCTGGAAAATGGAAAAGTGAAATATCAAATCTACCATTTGTTGTCATATTTTTCTGAATCAGAATCCATATTAACATAGAGCTAATTGGAACTTGACCTGTAAGGGGAGATATGTCGGGGTTGGCAGGAGGGCTTACTGAAGAATTAATCGGAAAAAGATTGTGAGTAGATGTTTAGTCTGCTTAGGAAAGCACATGGTTTTTGAGAGCCTTTAAAAGCTCTCTAACATCATATTTTATGTAACCTAACTATAAGTGAGTCATCAGTATCATAAAGCAACTTTGGCAAGATCTCAGTGGTGGCATTGGATAGCAGCACAGTTTTGAACCCCTTATGTGCTCCGCCCTCTAATTATTGGTGGCTTTGCCTCCCATCTGTTTAAAAATAATAAAATATAATAATAGTCCATGTAAACTATATTTTTTCTTGTAGCCATTGATGTTGCTTCAACTCGTTGAAAGTAACACTATTATTGCCAAAGGTATTCTATGGTTTAGATTGTCACCAATTCAGAATAATTTTCCTCCCTCTCTGTTCCTAAACAGGGACTTTTAATGTTCAGCTCTGGGATTTTGAGATTTCATTATAAATTGTTTGAAGATTCAATATATGATGACATGCAGTGGACTTTGATTCCCCCTTAAGTTAATAGTGAAATGAGGTATTTGAAAATTTCATCTATTTTATATATATATATATATAAAATTTCATCTATATATGCAGTATATATAATTATATTTAAAAGGTAAGGTAGAAATATTAAGTAAAAAGTTATTACTAATATATCTCTTATTTTAATGGAGCAGTGCTTGAAAACTTATTTCAGGGAACTCATTTTTATCTGTGAGAGCAAGGATTCCCTTTTGAAATCCACACCTTCAGCATTCATTCCACTCTACCTCATTGACCCGGCAATTATCTCTGCATCCCAACGGCTGCTTGCAATATTCATAGAATGTTTTCGTATTTACTATCTATCAAGAAGACTTGTTTATGTCAGATGATTAGCTGTTTGGGATGCCTTGAAGGAATACATCATTCATCCAGAATGGAAAATGGCCAATAAATTCTTTTTAAAAGCACATAATAAATAAGTGCTTAATTGAATTAAGTGAAAGGAAAAAACATACCTCCTTGACTTAATAAAAATTATTGTGATTTAAAAAAACAGTTTGTAATTTGAGAGATAGTCATTATCTATCTGTATGTCACATTTTAAAGGAGGTTTATGATCTGGAAACAGGGTCCTTTCCAGAGACCAGCTACACAGCCCCAGAACGCTTGGTGGCTGATAAATGGTGTTTGATTAGGGATTATATACAGTGTCCAAGGTTCACAAAATATTTGAGATTCTAAACTTTAAGAAATGTATTGATCCCCATCAAAATGAATATGTGTTTAATTAAATATATAAAATATTTTACATTATATCAACTTCATTGTCAATTTAATGTCCATAATTTTTTCATTTTATTTGAGAACAATTTTTAGGTCATACTTTGTCATTTCCCATGATTCCTGTATGTGCTCAATGATTGCTGGGAAATAATAACCAATGGTAAACTCTATGTATAACTTCTTGTCAAATGATTTCAAAAGTAAAATTGCAACCTTTTATTTTTTCAGAAGGTATTTGAGTTTATATGACATATTGTTATATTTTCTTTTCTTTTCATGGATAAGGGGTGAGGCCACGAGTAGCAAGAATGACTTGGTCCATGAGGGGTTTAATACTGAGCTTGCATTAGAAGTTACCACCAGGCTGGCTTGGTGTACTAACTAAGTGGAATAGTCTTTGAAATGGCAATACTCCCTAATGCCTTTCATGTTCACAAATTATAATTATAGTGATTCTAAAGAATAGAGGGAAAAGTCTGCATGAATATTTGAAAATAAAAGAGTTCAAACTATATTAAAATAAATCAATAAAAAATCACGACTTATTGTTTTAATGCCAAATTTGTTTGCCTTTTATAAGTACAGCTATAGCTTCTTGCCTTACTATGAAATCTTTTGTGAATGGTATAAATAACATTGAAAATCCTACCTTGAGCAGTTCCTTTAAAATCTGAAGTTATAGTCATATTTCTTTGTTTTATAAAATACTAAATGTAACAATTCATTTTATTATATTAAGATGACTCATCCCAAATCAGAAAAATGATATGTAGTAATTTTGAGAAAAAACCCTTGATCCACTTTGGCTTTTCAAACTCCTTTGTTAAGGCCTTCTAGAAATCCCAGCTTTGCTCTCCTGGGAATTCTTTAACGGGAAGGTGGGCATTTTAGTGATTTCTGAACCACCATAGATAGACTTTGGGTGTAATAAATATGAATCCTGCAGTTTTCGTAGATTATTTGCATTCATAAGATTAACCTTTCTAGTACAAAACTACACATCTGCATGAATGTTAGAAAATTCTTTGATTTTGAAACTTACTCCAGGCAGTTAATTTAGTGAGGAAGTTTGATATCTGAGCTATGAATATAAAATGTTCATGAATTTTAAAAGGTGTACTTGCAGTTTCATCCAGAACTCTAAATTGCAGAAATAAAAGTAGGAGTCAGTTATTTCCAGCCAACACAGAGCAGGTCCTGAGAGAAAATTTTTAACTGCAGTTGCCACAATGCTCACTGTTATTAAAGCCGTAGGTCTCTGACTGGATCCAGTCATTGCTGTTGGAAGTGCGGCTTGCCCGCCACACGTAGTTCCGAGGCCTGTGTTCTGCAGGCTGTGATGGGTGCAGGGAGTATATGGCATTGCCTGAGTGCCTTTTTCTCTGGTGTTTGCCAATTTCTCAGCCTCCAGATACTGAACTCTAGGCTTGTAATGGTGTTTATTTACATCTCTACAGCTTGGAAGAGTGATTGAGTCACTGTGCTGCTGTCTTGGGAGAGGGTCAGGACAGCTTTCTTTTCATAAGCATATCCTTTGAGTAAAACCAAGAATGTCATATAATTGTAATGCCATTCTTTCCTAAATGACATATTGCAATTTTAGTGTGATCTTTTAAAGCCTTACAACACTGTGAGGTGGGCAGTCAGACAGATATTATCCTCATCTTAGACGTGGGAATCTAAGCATCATTAGTAGTTACACAGCTAAAACTTACACTTACTACCTTCTCATTTGTCTGCTCAGACAGAAAGAAATTACAGCCTAGTTAGTTTCCTGCAGAGGGAAAAGTAGCTTCATATGAAAACCTCAAGTAAAGTCTGAAGACACCATAGGAAAAACTGGGAGTGCAAAGTTGGGATCTAACATTATGATTCCCAAAGGAACAGGAGTTAAGCCATCAATTTATTTCTGTTACCACGAGGGTTCCTGATGGAGCCGTGAATATATAGATCATCTTTTATCTGGCATTGCCAGCACCTGGGGCTCATATTTAAGATTGGTCAGGAATGCGTTACCTTTTACAGTGATGGACGTTCTCCTTCCTTATACCTCCCTCTCATCATACACATGCACACACGCACATCACTGCTGCTTCAATTCCTCCTCTTTCCCCTGGTGAGTGGTCTCTTTGGAAAGGACACACTCGAAGGGGAACTTCTGATCGACTACTGGGCAGGTTGTAACAAAACTCCCCTTTTCACTCTCCTTGGAAGATTGAAAGAGTTGGGCTGGTAACATTTGATCTTAGATTTGAAGGATTAGATTTGACAGACATTAACCAGCATATTTCTTAGTATTTTCATAAATTTTCCTTCCGTCTGCCAGTCCAATGTAGTTTTGTTATTGTAACTACAGGAAAAAGTCCTTTTTCTATC